GAAGGGAACAAACACGCACGCGGACCGCTTGTTAAGTCTGTACACGCATATAATAGAAAAAAAGAAGAAGAAGAAGAAGAAGCTAGAAATACCAGAAAATCATGATTTGGTTCGTAAATACACAGAGGCAAGAGAGAACGAGGGAATAGCATGCAAAAATGCATAGCGCATCGAATTCCACTCGTCTCATCAGTCTAACAAAGCAAACAACCTTCTTTTATCAAAGAAAATTTTCTTCTTTCTTAATGGTGTCTAGTATAATAATTGTAAAATAAAAAAAAAAAACGAATCAATCTTAATATGAAAATTGTTTTTAATTAAAACAAAACAAAAAGAATCAATTATTATTTATTTTTTTTTTGTTACCCCCTAAAGAAACAGATTCATTCGATTAAATGTCAATAAAAATATCAAACTATCAATCAATTTACAACTATACTTACTTGTCGATAGATACTATTTGAATCCGATGAAAAACTACTATCTTGTGTTGTACCAATACCACCTAATCTTGATGTTAATTTCTAGAATAAAATAAATTTTAAACATATATATATACAAAACAAAATATTATTTTATTTTTTATAAGAAAAATTTATGATGTATTACTAATGAATTTTGTGATCTATAAAAAATTAGATTTCATATAAATTGAAATATTAAAATTAATTAAATAAATTTTCACATGAAATATATATATAATTATATTAATTTACTTTAGGTTGTAGAAGATCACGATGAGGTAATGGATTGGTATTTGGTCGACTATTCGTCGTTATATTAAAATTGATATTGTTTGTATTGTTGGCCATTAACGTCATTTTTTGAAATCAAGAAAATCATCTTGATTCTTTCGTTTGTTGTCGTTTTTTCTTTTTTTGAAGTTAATAGACAATATCTAAAAGATTAAATAATATTAATTATAATAAATATTCGTCAAAATTTTAAATAATATTTTTATTGACTATGATTGTTTATTTATAAGTTCATATAAATGTTTTTAATGACGATTGTTCGAGTAACCCATTCCATGGAAAACTTTCTTCTTCCACCAGATTTTTCCATTTAGATGATTCATCATATGGCGAACTCTGCTGAAATTTGAGAGAAAGGAAAATATTCATACGCCATCTTTAGGAAACATTATTATAAATATGAGAAATATATATATATATAGAATAATATTATTCTTTTATTAATTTCTGTAACAATTTCATGTGACACACATAGACGTTATGTAAAAAGTGATTCATAATGAAATGAAAAATTTTAATTGAATTTTATTGAACTTACCTTCTGAGAATAAAATCAATTTTCATTAAAAAAGAGCCCGAAGTTTGATCTTTCATAGATGATATGAGTTTATTTGACATTGCACATGCTTTTTTTTTCAAAAAAAAACTTCCGTCATTTCTCGATGGAAAAATTTGTAAGAATTAAAACTAAGAACTCTATCATGCTCTTTCAAACAAGCGAAAATTAAATCATGATATAGGACTAACGATTTTTTTTCATAGCTTTTTGAAATAGACTTGTAACATATCATGCAATTTGAATATTCCTGAACGAAAACTTTTTTCCGATAAATTCGAATATAACTTTTATGTTGTTCTATTTGAACAGAAAAATTCTGTAGTTTTGCTATTACGATTCGAAACGAGAAGTTAGAATAGAAGCTGTTTCTATAAAATGTAATATATTTTGTCTTTCAACAACATATCTTAATTTTCAAGATCAAAAAACTATTTTACATTGAAAAGAACTCTTGCAACAAAAATGATTAGGTGCAGTGGTGTAGCCAGGAATTTTTGAATCATAGGCAATTCATCAGTCGAACTATTTTGAATTACGGGCAGCGCAAGGGCAATCGTCATAATTTCAAAAATATTATCTATGGACAATAACTGTTCAAGTACTGCATTGCTCAATGAGTGTATAGGTGTTTGAAAAATTCCTATACAAATAAAATCAATATTTCAAAAGTCATATACGAAAAAAAGTATTCTAACTCATAACTTTTGATTCGTCAGACATATATTGAAAATCAACAGGTTTTTTTGACAATAAACTTTCTCATCAACCAGTTGATAGAATAATTAATTCTATATTAAAAGTGAAGAGTTTTGTTTACATGTTTATTATTATCTACATCTCAATCTAACACAATAAATGAATTTATAACAATGATGAGAAAGATTTTTTTTTATTGATGGCTGTTAAAAAAAAGGGGGGATGAAAATCTTTCGAGTGACTAACTTTGAAGATGATTTTGAGATCACATATATCTTTTATTATGAATTCACAATCGATATATAGAATAAGAAGCGAAAAGAAATTATGGAAGAAAACAAAATAATCTCATAAAAGATGAAAAATAAATGAATGACACCAAAAGAAAAAGTACATCGGATGTAACATGATAGGAAATGCATTATGAATATATTTCGATACGATCATTAAGTGAATCTTGGATTAAAAATGATTATATATAATGAAAAGATTATTTCTTGTTGTTTCTTTACTTTTAAAGAAATAGAAAAATGTATCAATAGCTCGACATATTTATTATATCATGTTTTGATAAAATTAAAATATATTTTCGAAAAATTATACGTAGATAATTATGACATCATTTATCAACTGTAAAATATTGACTAGAAAAATGATTATTCAACAGAATGTTTATTTTCATTGTAAATAACATATAAATAATCGATTTATACTGATGTTGAAGCGAGAGCTCAATCCTTTCCTAACGTTTCTATATTAAGAATGTATGTCTTATTTGTTTTCAAATAGAAATTATTCTCCTACACTACAAGTTCTTTTTACGGAATGACTAATTTATGAAATTTTTGAGATATAAAAAAACAAAATTTATTAAGAAACTTTTCCTAATGATGAAATGCTTAGATATAATAACTGTACATAAGTTTTGTTTATTATTTATACAAAAAAAACAAAATATTCTATTAGATTATTGTTATCGACAAAAAATGTTATATGATATACTAGAAGCGTATGCAGTATATGACCTTGATGCTAGTTACTATTAAGTTCAAATACTTATTACAACTTTTATTAATAGATTTACTAGCTGTACATGCATGTTTACTAATTATTCAAATCAATGAAGAATTAATGTTAATTAAAGAAAATCGAATATAAAAACTTTAGTGTTTATAAATCAAGTTTTATTCATTATTAAAACAAACTTTTGAAAAGGATATAATAGAATTGCACTCTATATTTTCAAAAACGTTTTATGAACAGCTTCTTAGCAAAATTTGCAAATTTTCAGGACAGATAGATCTTGACCAAAGTTGTCATAGACTCAAGGTTCTCGGATGTTGTCTTCTTTGCGATACTACGATCATAACAATCAAATACCCCATTCGAAAAAGTGTATAGTATATATATAAAAAAAACAGGTTTCAATTCAATCCGATGTACCAACTCGGAGAAAAGAAAGTTTTTCTATACTTTTTTTCATGAAAAATTAGTTACATAGTACTCAGACGATAGATATTACTTCAATCTATACAATGGTTAGAAAAAGAACAAAACTTTGAGTCACGAAAGGAAAGTACTCATAAGTATCTTTTACTTAAATCGACACTGTACTTAGTGTTGTTAGTAAGAACAAATACATTCATGTAAAATCTTTAGATTTTTTTTCTTCTTCATATTTAGTTTTAAAGGAATTTTTTTTTTTCAAATAATGTTTCAAGATAATAACGAACATATATAAATTTCTATAAATTAAGTGATTTTGTATCATGTTTAATCTTGTCTGAGATACATCGTATTTCTTGTTTATCTCAGTATAAGATAATTTGATACTTGTTTGTTATCACTCCATCAAAAATTTTTTACTTTTTTAATATTATCTTATCTCTGATTATCAATTCTATCCATATCCTTTTATAATATTATTGTTCTATTTTTATATATTATGATTTTGTTTCGTCTGAGAATCAAAATTTTTTTTTTTTTTAAATTAAAAAGTTTTGATAAGACAATAACAAAACAAGTATCAATGATAATTCTATATAAATTTTTTCTATACTATTGAATCATAATCAAAGATATTAAAGTATTTATTTTGTTTAGTTCTTATTATCATATGGTTTATCTGATGTGTCATAACACAAGCATATACATGTGACAAATCATATGGATTTCCATAGACTTATAGAACAAAATATCAAGCAATTATCACATAAGTGTATTTTTAGCTAGAATAGATAAACTTCCCATTAATTAATATTGATCTTGCATAAGCATATATATGTAAACAAGCACAAAACAAACAACTTATTATTGTGAGATTTAAAAACAATACAAAAGCGAAAATAGAAAAAAAAAATATCATAATCTTAATCCAACAAATATTAAAAAAAACGATTTATAATGAAAACTTATTTTATTTCAAGAAAACATTTACAGACAATTTATATCCATGTTCAAAATAGAAATATAAACATGATCGAAATATTATCAGAAAACAAATAATGAAAAATTATCATTCTCAGTTCTAATTTGATCTGAGACTATTTATTAAAACTTCAAGTGATATATTATACCTTATATTTATGTTACGCATTAATAATTACATAATAAAAGATTTCTATATCGAGAAATTCTTCAGAACATTGTAACATACAAAAACCTTCCTAATAGTTATATATTACCAATACACTGACAGAAAAGTCGCATAAGAATAAAAAAAATAATACTATCATACGAAATTCCTAAAGCTATGAATGTTAATATAGAACAGCAAGTATGTCCTTTTCTTTTATATATTAAGGAATATATAATGAAGATGATGCTTTACAAGACGTGAATAAGAAACAAAAATTTTTTGTTTTTCATTTCGATTATGATGATAATAATTTTTTTTTTTTTTTTTTTATTTATTGATAAACAATATTTATTTATTTTACATGAATATTTCATATATAAGAATAAAAAATCAGATTAAAATTATTTTTTTATTAAATTCTTCTACGAGATATTTGTAAACTTGTTCGTGCTAAAACAAGAACAATTGTTGATGAATGTTTACGTTTATGATTAAATATTATATAAATAAATGGATTTAAACTACTTTGTGTTAAACATATTATTTGTAATACTCCATCAAGCCATAATGGTTTATATAAATAACCATTAGAATATATTTCAATTAATGTAATAACTATATAAGGTGTCCAACAAACAACAAATACAATAATAATAGTCATTGCTAATTGAACTGTTTTAACTTTAGCAAAAGATGTTGAAAGTGATGGAAGAATTGTTGTTGTTGTTTGATCTTGTATTTTTTGTATCCAAACATTTTTTGATGATATAACAACATGTATTATTTTTATATAACATATTGTCATACAAATAGCTGGTATAATAAGAACATAACAAGCAAATATTGTAAAATAAATTCGACGTTGCCATTCAGCTGTATAACCTGTACTAGCACAACGATATTTTATTAAACTTTTTGGTATTAAACTTTGTTCAAATATAAATAATTGTGGTATAGCTATTATTAATGAACATAACCAACATAAAATTATAATACGACGTACACGACGAAATGTTGTACGTAATCGAAATGGACAACAAATTGCTTCATATCTTAATTAAATAAAAAA